GTCCGGAGCCTGTGCTCCGGACGCGCAGGCTCAGCGGCCACGGCTCACGGGCCTAGCCGCTCCGCGGCATGTGGGATCCTCCCGGACCGGGGCACGAACCCGTGTCCCCGGCATCGGCAGGCGGACCCCCAACCACTGCGCCACCAGGGAAGCCTTGTTCTTAAACACAGCTTGAGAGGAGAAGACCATTAGGACCCAAAGGGAGAAAAGGCAGAGAGGGAGAGAAAAAAGGTAGAAAGTTGGGATCAGATATGGAGCATCTTCGAGCTTGCTCCTCACTACTCTCCACGCACCGTGGGATAATATTGAATTCCTCCCTCTTCTTACGGAATATCCACTCCACCCCAATATTAAGCAGATATGCTAACTTCAGGCAAGCCTTGTAGCTAAAAAGATGAAATATTTGCTCTTGTTGAGGCAATGCATATCTTTTAATGCATTTTATAGGTACAAGATAAATTGGGTTAACAAATAAAAACATACAAAGATAAAAATGGCAAGATTCTGCCCTGCCCTATACGAATTTTCAGTCAAGATTTGAGTCCAGATTAACTATATCAGACAAGAATGTTAAAATTTATGAACAGTTAAGAGAATTTATAGCCAATACCCTAAAGAGGGTAGTTTGGGTATAATTCATACAAATTTATAATATTCTACTACAAGGATTTCTTTGAAAAATAGCTATGCTCCTCATGACAGAAATGAAGGAAAGAGAGAATAGAGGGAGAAGTGTCCTGGTGGGTTCAGCCACTTCCCTTCGTTGATGTCTGTTCTCTCCTTATCTTTCACCATCCTGCATTAATGAGGTTACAGGGAAGGCAAAAATAGCCTTCTTGATAATGGAGCTCAAAGAAGAAAAAAACAAATGAGGAAAGCCCATGTCAAAGAAGGAATCCCAATGCACATGGAAAGCCCCAGAAATTCAATCGAGGGACGTTCCAGATAGGGTAGGTGTTCAAAGACCAATGAGGAACTTCACAATTGCAGAAGCCAAGGAGAATGCCTGCTGATAAGCAGAGGATGTTCTCCCAGGATGTTTGATGAAAAGATAGCTAAGTAAAGGCATGAATATGGCAGAAGATCATTGCTAAAATATGTTGATATTATAAATGTAGATTTGAGCATTGAATACATATCCATACATATAGAATGTGGGATAGCGAGTGTTAATTAGTCTATCTGTATTTGAATATTGTAACCAATTAAATACGGATTTGTCATAGTTCAGAGAGCTCAGATTTGAAGTCAGAGATCTCTACTCCAGCTCTAATTCTTCCACTTATACTAATGGTAATTATCTGTGCCTCAGTTTCCTTAATTTGAAAATAGGGGTAGTACTGGTATTTTCCCTATATATCTCACTGGGTTTTTGAGAGGATCAAAATGGAACAATAATACTGTAAAAGCACTTTATAACCTAAAAATGATCTTATTAATGTTTCCTGAAGACTGATAGAAAATGAGAAGGTTAGAAGGAATCATGTCCTAAAGACAAAAAACTCTTGGGAAATGGCTTGAGTTTGGATATCAATAAGTCCTAGAATGATGCTAGTATAGACGACAGCAAAACTTGGTCTTAATTTGCGTAAAACGTGTGATTTATCCTGATTGCATTCACTCCAAATCCCATTTCCATACCTTTGACCTCTAGTTATAATAATTTAGAAGATGATTACATCATCTGTGCATTTTCCAAGATTCATGGCCGATATTTTTGCAGTAGAAGTGTGCATATATCTGTTTATTACACATACTTTTCACCACACATTTTAGAATTTTTTTCAGTTTACATTAAAAAAATTGAGATAGAATTCTAGAAGAGCGCAGTGATAAATAAGTTTTGAATGATCATCCTGGAGGCTGTGGTATTTATTTTCTATCCAGGGCCAATGCTATAAAGGCAGTGACTGAGCCAGTTTTTCGTGAACCAGCTCATAGCTTGGGTTTCTCAGCCAGTAACTAGGTATTATCAGTAGTGACATTAGTCACACATCCCTGTGTGGTTAATAAATAAAAACTGGTCATAAGGCATGATTCATAAAGAAAGTAGTTAGATAGGACCCAGGGGTAAACACAAACCTTACTGCCCAGATCTCCATGAGGGGGAGTCAGTGAGAATTAAGTGGTGGATTTATTAAGAAACAGTTTATATTTAAAAAAAATAAAAAGCCACTGGGTAACATGAAAGGAATTACAATATGTTTTGTGGAGTTTAATTTACACAGAATATACTTTTTATAGAGGAAGTCTATGTAAGGATTTTAGATAACACTATTTTTTGTATTTTTATATCTGCTACATAGAAATATTGCTTGTGCATCACAGAAATGCATCTGGAGACACAAAATCTTCTGAATGGTTCTATGAATTATTTGGTTGT